TCCCTCTCTAATCCTGCTCCCACTTCCCCAGCCTCCTAGTGTCTTTCCTTATGACGCCCTCCCCCTGGTTCCCTTACTCCCCCTTAATCCTTTTTTCTTCCGTTCTGACTTACCCCATTCCCACCCACCTGTTGTCTTGCTGTTCCCAGCTGTTAGTCCATGGCCATAGACTTCTGGATGATAGCTAATTCACCTGGGACTGGCACCTCCTCCGGTACTGGAGGACTGCATATTAGTGGTTTTATCTCAGGTAGACACTCAGAAGTTAATTCAAGCTAGCTAGTGCAGCTCAAAGATGATTCTTGCCCAAGGTGGTGTAACTAAAATGCCTCAAGGGCACTTGGCAGACAAGATTCTTTGGGTAAATCTGATGTCTTTTATTAGACCAACCCAAATAGCTGGGAAAAATCTTCTTTGTAAGCTTTCAGGTATAAATATGCTTGGTCAGGTTGAGGAAGCATGTGCAGTTGGTGTGTGCTCTTCCTGGATGAAATAAATAGTAAAGAAGCCAGAGGCTGGTCTGCATGAAAGACAGCCAGCCAGTGAAGATATAAATTGAGGATTCAGTGGGTGAGAAAAAGACTGAGGGGGGGGTGGACAAAGGGGAAGAATGTAGCTGGTAAACAGTGGAGAGGTACCTGCGGAGTCAGATGTCAGGCAGGTTATAATGTGTCATAAATCCAATGTCTATATTTAGTCCATGATTTTTTGTATCCAGGAGGTTGATGAAGTGAAGTTTGTAGGCTCATCTATGAGAGGTCTTTTGAAAATTCCCTTTGAGGATTAAAAATGAAAGATTGGAGAGAGACTGGTTTTCTTGTGAGATATGTAAGACACAGGTAAAGGGTATTCTTGTCAAGGGCACTTAGCATTTGCTAATGAGCCTTAATGTGTGATCATTCAAGTTTTAAGTGTTTTTAACATGATCTAATTATAACATGTAATCTCAACCACAGTCTTTAAGCAACAAACAAGTAAACAAACCAAACCCTTCTGTCCTATCCTAGGGACTAGGGGGAGAGTCTTTTGGCTCTGGTCCCAGAACAGCAGTCTGTCCCCACCTCACAGCAAGCTGTTGTTTCATAGTTTCATAGTTTCTAGGGTCGGAAGGGACCTGGGCAGATCATCTAATCCGACCCCCTGCCATGGCAGGAAAGAGTACTGGGGGTCAAACGACCCCAGCAAGATGGTCATCTAACCTCCTCTTAAAAACCCCCAGGGTGGGAGCCTGCACCACCTCACTTGGAAGCTGGTTCCAGACCCTAGCTGCCCTGACCGTGAAGTAGAGCCTCCTGATGTCCAACTTAAACCTTCCCTCCGCCAGCTTGTGACCATTATTCCTGGTCACTCCTGGCGGCGCCCGGGGGAACAGGGACTCCCCCAGTGCCTGTTGATCCCCCCTGACTAGTTTATAGCAGGCCACAAGATCCCCCCTCAGCCTTCTCTTCTGGAGGCTGAACAGGTTCAGGTCCCATAACCTTTCCTCATAGGACGTTCCCTGCTGTCCCTTGATCATGCGAGTGGCCCTCCTCTGGACCCTCTTGATGCTGTCCACGTCCCTCTTAAAGTGCGGCTCCCAGAACTGGACGCAGTACTCCAGCTGCGGCCTGACCAGTGCCGCATAGAGGGGGAGGATCACCTCCTTGGTCCTGCTTGAAATGCATCTGTGGATGCACGACAAGGTACAGTTGGCCTTCCTAGCCGCCTCCCCACACTGCCAAGCCATGTTCATCTTGGAGTCAATAATGACTCCAAGATCCTTTTCCACCTCCGTGCTGACAAGAGGGGATTTCCCCAGCCTATAGGTATGGGGAGCAAGCTGTTGTGTCTCTCAACAGGGCAGAATGTGTCCTCTTAAAGGGACAGAGTGCTCTGTTCCAGGGCCCCATCCAGAGATTGTAGAAGTCCATTGAACTGTTTCCATTTTTTATGGGCTTTCAGACCATCCCTTTGAGTGTGGAATTGTAAACTAACAACAGTCTTAAACAACTGCAAAATATTACAGTTTGTCCTGAGGGGGTCCCTTAGGCTTTTCAAGTTTGATATGGTGTTTTACTGACATACCATAAATTGTATCTTCAGACTATTGAATTCTCATTAGAACAATTTCAGTGTGCTTGTGGCATTCTCTTCTCATTTGCTGATAATATATTGTACTGCCTGAGACATCCCACCTCATCTCTGTGGAGACATTATGATGGTATAAGCATTGCAATACAGCATCTTTGAATGAGTATTTTGAATGCATACTGCCTACGGATAGCTACACTATTGTTATTTGTTGTCTTGGTGTTTTTCACTTGTGAAGATCTATTCAGATCATTTGTGTGATTCTGCTAATATTTGTCAGATGAAATTTAATAGGGTAAATGATATAGTTCAGGTTTGTGTGTTTTCATGCAGATATAACAAGCTTGTATTCACAATGTTTATCTCTTTGTAATTCTTGTAACGGGAGGGAAGGAGGGAGGAAATGCTTAATTATTATAATTGAGTGAGGTTTCTTCTGTTTTACTGACCTGAGTAATGTTCTTAGTTCCTCCACACCCCTAAGCCACAACATGCATCTGTTTGTTTCTTCATTGTGCTACTGTTTAATATCATGTACTTTTTAAAAAATGGAATTACAATGGATATTGTGAATGCACTTTCTTCCTGTTGAATCTAATTGTTGTTTTTTAAAATTACTGAGCTGGTATTTACATGGAGTATGATTCCTTCCTGCAATATCGATGGAATAAAACATTTTATTATACATACTATGCAAGTAAAAGAGAAGCATGACACACATCTGTGAAGATGGCTTTGAATGTTATTAAAATGAAATAAATAATAGATAATAGGATATTTTCATATCAAGTAACATAATGAGCAAAATAGGTTTATACAAGGAAAATATACTGCATTAAAAATGGCACTTGTAGACACCAGTTAACCATTCATTTATTTTGAACAAGTCCTGAAATGCTGATTATGTGCATGTCTTATTTGATTATAAACTATTTTTTGAGTTTTCAATCAATCAACAATGATATTTCATTTTTAATTGTCCTTGGAAAGCTATACATTAGATTCTTATTCAGGTCTTAATTTGTGAATTCTTTTCTGGAGGTGGACCCAATTTTGCCTGTCGAGAAAACATTAGAAAAAGTAACCTGTTGAATGTTATAGAGGACTGTGTCCAATCCTCCTAAACTGTAGAAAAGATCAGAGAAGCAAAACATCTGAAGTATAAAAGGAAGAAATGATAGGTGTCTACAAATTTGGAGAACCACTTGGGGAAGGGGGGGAACTATTTTAATACTTCAGGGTATCTTCAACATTGCTTTTGCGTTCTCTTTCCTTCACAGCAAAGCTACGTGAGTCCTGCTTTGATCCTGGGAATATAATGAATGGCACGAGACTTGGAATGGATTATAAATTGGGGTCGACAGTTACTTATTACTGTGATGCAGGTTATGTTCTTCAAGGATATTCTACACTGACCTGCATTATGGGAGATGATGGAAGGCCTGGATGGAATAGAGCACTACCCAGTTGCCATGGTAAGAGCTGGTTTTTGTGATCATTCTGTGGCTTCAAAAGGACACTAAAGTAAATTTCAGAAATACATTTATGTTGTAGAAATTTTAATACATTTTTCTCTTCCTTTCAACCCTCCCTCCACCCCCACATGGGTATATATAAAATACGTCCTTAGGACATTGCATGAAATGACAGATTGAACATCCATTGATAAGAAGTCAGAGGGGTTATCAGGAAGAAATATAGTAGAAAATAATTGCTGTTGAGGATAAGCAGTGGTACTCACTCTGGGAGGAAGCACTATCCCTGGTAGAAAGTGTTTGCATTGTGAAGATTTTTCATTCTATAACATATGATACACACAATATCATTTATTTGCTTAAGCAGAGCATCGAAATACACTGTTAATGTCACTGTGTGGTTGAAGTTTTGGTCTGTTTTTTTTAAATGCTAATGGCTCTTAGGACACACAATGGAGTAGTGCCTCACCAAAAATTTTATTTATGGTTCAGACATTACTTTGCATTTTTATTTAACCATTTTATGTGAAGTTCTAGGAAATTTTCATCTAAAAAAAAACCTACTCACTTCAGTAGTCTAGTGACTTTAATGACACTGAAATTATGCTGTGCATAATTGTATGGTTAAAGTCTAAATTTAAGTTCCATTTTTATCCAGGTAGTCTAATATAAGGATTTTGCTGAATAGAATAAACACTCCTCTGGGTTCATAGTTCGGACCAGCAGCACCTACTGTGGGGCACTTGTCATTAAAATTGCCTCAGTGATTAATAATGAAACAAGAAAGGGTCTAAAAATATCAACTCCTTTTACTATAACAACAACTGGATAATAGGTAATACATGGAAATTGTACAATGAAAATATTTAGAATTGCTATATCTATCTATCTATCTATCTATCTATCTATCTATCTTCCTGGACATCTGCACTCCTGTTTCAGGTCTTATTGCTTTATAAAGAACAAAGACTAAAATTATAAGCTTCTAGCTGTGGTCAGTCCCTAGCAGAAACCTGTATCCCTCTTCACAGGGGCTTCTAGATTAACTCAGTTTCATGTCCTCCAGTTGCCACAGTGCTTATCCACAACTTGGATAATTAAACCAGCAGTTACAGCTTCTTATTCTCTTAAGGGTGGATTTCAGGAAACCTACCTATAGCACTCTATAAACTTTCTTATATGCAATAGTAACTATGATATCAACATATAAATTACCCAGATATAATACTCAGTTTTATAATAACTTCTGTCACTAATGTATAAGGAACAAAGGGTGAACATATAAGCTTGCTACTGTGTTCACTCCCTGGTAGAAACCTCCTCCCTTTTTCAACAGTGGTTCCTGGTAGAACTGAGCATTAGGGCTGTGCGAAATTTCAGCAGCTGTTTCATTTTGGAGATGTTTTGGGCTGTTTTGGTGCCTGAAACACCGAATCTGAATCAAAATGCAAGACTCAGAAATATTTCCAAAATGAAATGAGGAATCTGAAACATTTTGAAGATGTTACAGAAAATTTTGGAGTTTCAGAGCCGGGGTTGCAGGGAAACAGCTGTATGCTGCTGCCCTGCCACTCGATGCGTCTCCGCAGAGAGCAGAGATCTGTGCCAGGGGTCTCCTTGCTGCTGCTGTTTGCCCCCCGCTGTCCTGGCCACTCGGGGCTACATGGGGTGGGCAGGGGTGGCAAGGAGAGTCTTGACATAGATCTCTGCTCCCTGAGGAGCCAGGTCTCATGCTAGGGCAGTGCAGGTCCCTGCCATGTGACCCAGCTCTGCAGGGATCAGAGATCTGTGTGGGGATCTCCTTGCCTGCATGGAGGGCAGTGGCCTGCCCCCTCCCCTAGATAAGCCACCCACATCCCCATCCTGCTCCCTGCTGGGGCCCCAAGCCCCACCCAGCTTGGCTTTGAAACAGATTCTGGGGAGATTCGATGGAGCCAAATTGGTGAAACAGATTTCACCGAACCAAAACAGGACAGTGATCTGAAACACCAAAACAAATCGCTGTCCTCTGAAATGGCCGAATCTAAAACCAAATCAAAACACAGCCATTTTGCACAGTTCTACTGAGCATGTATCATGGACTCCCCTGTATTCATAGAAACTGGTTTCTAGGATTATAGTTCCTCCACAGAGTGAGTGTGGTACACATAACATGACTGCTGGATATCACCATTTCTCAATTGAATATGTTCAAGAGGGTCTCATTGACCTTCTTAAAATGGATACAGTATCTGCTCATCATGCTACTGGTTATGTTCAGGTTGCATTTTGAAAAGTATCCTGACAGGCATTTCAAAGAAAGTCTGCATTACTCATGCCTGTGCTTCTCTGTTAGAACTAATCCTTCTCTTCTTCCTGTTATTTAGTTATGTTTTGATATTAAAAAATATTTAAATACAAATATTAAATTATGAAAATCTATCTATGGAAATATTTCTTCTTTGGCAATCCCTTACAGTCAAGGATGATTGTCTTCTATGGCTGTCTTATCTGTGTGTCCAAAGATAGCTGATAAGGCCTATCTGGGATCAACAGACTCAACTGCAGCTCATATATTTCTGTCTGGGGTGGGTAATGCTGGACTCTTGATTTGGTCTGTGACATGCTGTTTCTGTCACTCCTGCTTTTCGATCTCCTGTTGCAGGTTTCAAAGTACTGAGATCCCTGCAGCAGACTCTTCCCCCATTTGGGGCAGTCCTGGGAAATGGTTTCCCATGAGTTGACATTGATGTTACATTTTTTAACTTGCCCTTGAGGGCATCCCTGAAGCAGTTTCTCTGCCCTCCTTTTGAGTGTATGCCTTGGCTGAGCTGGGAGAATAAAACTTGCTTTGAGAATCCAGAGTCAGCAGATGACATGGCTGGCCCAACAAAGTTGATGTCAGATGATCATTGCCTCAGTACTCATGATGTTTGCTTGCAGGAGGACACTAATGTTAGTATGTCTGTCTTCTCACTGGATTCAAAGTATCTTCTGTAGGCAGCACATCCAACAATTTTAGATGTGTAGCCTGGGTAGTTATTAACATAAACATAACTAACAAAACATAACTACACCCGGGGTGGGGGGGGTACCCTGTTCTCCAGTGACAGTGGTGGGGGTTAGGCAGGGTGCTGATGGAGGGGCTGGCTACTAGAGCAGTTCCCTGGCCTCTCTACAGAGCCAGGCCGAGACTGAGTGCTTAACTATATACAATTTATTACTATAATAAATACTTAAGATACAACATGAAATATTTATAATAAACCTTAGCATATGTCACTACATATAATATCCCACAATTAACATAAACCATATAACTTACAACATATATAATAATACATTGAACAAGATAGTTAAAGTTACAACACGATAAACACATATGGGGACTCAAATTATATAACCCAAATAAGTTAATAATATTTCCTAGACCTACATATTAACACATTGAGACTATATAAACCATATACACTTCCTTAAAAAATACCCATAGCTACATAGACCTTGATACAACAACAATAACCCAAAATAGGGAGTGCACTTAGTACCTCCCCAAGGGGTTTCCTTGGAGCCCCTCCCCTTTAGGGTCCTGGGATGTGGACACACCCCTCCCGCAATGGAGGGTAGAATTGGCAGACCCTCCTGTCCTGTGCCCACTGTCTCTAGTGGGTTATGGAATAGAGAAGATCCCACACAACTTACTGATCCGTTTGATGCACTTGGATGGGGGAATATTTAGTTGATTGCACAATTTCACAATGATTGCACACTTAATTCATACAACACAATTTTATTTTAAATTTCTTTGCTATGCATATAACACTGCTTAGCTTTAAGAAATACCACACATTAAGAACACAATAACTACATATATCAGAAACAATGCTCCAAATGCACTTCTTTAAAACAATTACATTAACAACTAACTATATAATTTGAACCAGAAAAGTTATTACTATATTATACTTACAATCCTAGAATTCCGAAAAGCCAAACACCTAGATATGCTTTCATTCCTCAGTCGTACAATTTAATGGGTTGGCCTCAGTAGTATGGTTCAATGGGCTGGCCTCAGCAGTACGGTTCAATGGGTTGGCCTCAGCAGTGATAGGAACAAGTCCCCTTCCTTCAGTCCCTCTTGGATGCTCCGCGGCTTCAGCATGAACTAAGAGATTCGTGTTCACGGAGAGAGTGGTTCAGGTGATCAGTCTGATCTGGCCTACACTTGCGATTCTTCCTTCGTTATTCTGCAAGTGAGGTTACCTCCAAATTGGGACAGTAGATTACAGTTTTTATTGAGTGAGTTGCCATCTTGGGCCCCTCCTACCCAAACCTGTCACTACTCCCAAATTTGGGCTCGGATCTTTCTTAACAGATTTCTGCTGGGTTCAGTTTCTTTTGTTGACCGTTTAGTTACTTTGGGGAATTTTCACACCACTGCAGTGACCTCTCTTTCCAACCCATTCAAAAGCCCCTAGGGTTTGATCTCTCTGGATGTTTGCTTAAGGGTCATTTTTAGGTTAACCTTGTTAAAGGCCTCTAGAGATAAAATTCAAGAGTTAAGACTTTGAGCAAGGCCAGGATCTTCCGCACGTAGGCCAAAACAATGACCTAGATAAGAAGATGAATCTTGTCTTTTTCTAAACTGACTAATGGGCAACTATTACAAGTATTCAGACTATTACATTCAATATGACACCCACCTCCCCATGGGGCCCACTTCCCCAGAAACTCACGCTTCCCCCCTGAAGCAGCCAAGGCTCATCTCCTGGAGGCCAATCCCAAGAAAGAGCCTCTCTCCAATGGCGCCTTCAGCTCTCCTCAATGGCCTGGCACCCACACTGGGCAGCCCAGGGCTCTCTCTCTCTCGCGGGAGCTGAACCCTTACAGGTTCTGGCTCCCCGGTCTCACACCGGGGGTCCTCCCTTTCCCAGACCCTGCTATGGGCACGGAGGCTCTTTTAGTTAAAAGTGGAGCTGCACTGTGGGGCTCTGGTCACTCAGCCTAGGGCTGGGGCTAAC